CCCCCTGACATACAGATTTAAAAGTATATGTTGCTTCTCTTGTTTGTCTTCAGGTTAAAAAGGCTTTCTTTGCCTTAGTAGCCAATGGTGTTCGTGCAGCGCCTCTGTGGGAGAGTAAAAAGCAGAGTTTTGTAGGTAAGCAGTGCGTCCCCGGAGAAAAACCTGAAATGGGAAGCCTGAAAAGCAGAAAGCCTAAGGTATTTTAATAGGTGCTGGTTGGAACTCAGCCTAGTAAACAAGTTTCCAAATTAAAGAACATTCTTGCTTTTACATCCAGGTAAGGTAGGGCCGCTAGTAAATTAAAAAATACTCATGTACTTTTATTTTCTTACTTATATTTATTTATTGAGTTTCTTTTGATTCAGCACTTTATTGTCTCTGAAGGTTCCTATGTGCCAGTTCCTGCAGCCAGGGAATGGGGTCCGAGCGGGAGGCTGTGGTCAGACGTATGTCTGTCTGTCAGCCACCTTCGCTCACGTTTACACACCTGTGGCCCATCCCTGCTTGCCCTTAGGTGAACACCTTTTGACAGGGCAAACAAAACGATGTAAGCGTGATAGATACCTTTGCTAAATTATCATCACTGTTAAAAACATCCTGTAATTTACAGTATCTAAACTCCATAGTTTCTCACCTTCTAAGTCATAGCAGACAATGGATGTCGTCTGTCAGTGTGTATCACGTGACTGTGACGCTACCAGCGTGTGTCTGCCCTTCCCCCCATTACAATGTCTGCAGGAAAAGTCCATTTCTCCCTCATCTGTGTAGTCCTGGCATCTGGCACATAGACGGCACTTAATACATAGTGACCGATAAAATCATTGTTTCTAGAATGCTTCTCAGGAAACAATCCCAGTGCCCCCAGAAGGGTCATGCTTCTAGAGCTTTTGGAATACTGTATCTTATTTTAAAGCATTTTAAATTATTTACATGTAGGTCTTTTGTGATGTTTTATAACAATCATTACGTTTTTTCTCATTAAATTGCCAAATGTTGTGATTAATTCCACTTATTATCAGACTTAGTTTCAGCTAAATTTGTGTTATCTCAGTTTGGTGTAGATAATTAACAGATTAATAGTTTTAAATAATATATTACACTGTGCTTGATACATATACTGTAGAAGTTTTCTAGTAAATACTCTTAAGTTTGCCTGTCATTTGAAATTTTCCTTTTATGTTTTCATAGTTTCCTATTTAACACATAATTCTTTGTTCCAGGAATGCTAACAATTACAGATTTCATAAATATACTACATAGATACTATAAATCACCTATGGTAAGTGCCGGAAATCCTTAGGTCAGTGATTGAAGCTGTGTATTTCTATGTATGTGTATTGGGGGAGGGGCGGGGTATACATTTTAAGATGTGTTTTTTTCTTTTTTGGTACGGGGGTGGAAGTGCTGGTGGTTGATTTTTCCAAGTCTGTAGAACGTGCAGGGAACCTCAGTGTAAATCAGTCATATATGTGAAGCTTGAAAAAGGTGGCCTCAGGAAAAATAAAAGGCACCAGCTTCTTTATGCAGCTTTCAGGAATTCTCGGGTTAGTGGACTTCTGCGTGCTTATTTATTGCCTAGATGTCCTGTGTCACTGAATTTAGGGTCTTTAACAGCATTATGGGCGTGTCGTAGTGTCGCGATGCGGCCTGGACCCGGGAATGAAGGCGGCCCCCCACACTACTCTTGCCCAGGTAGCTGTTACCATTGACAGTCTCACTGTTTGAGCTGAGAATGCCACAGGGCTACGTCATGGGCCTGTTGATGGGAGTGCAGTGTGGTTTTAAAGAAGTAAAAAATTATAATTGAAAAAATGCAGTTTTGACGTTTTTCTGCCCGTTAAAAAAAAGACTGCTACTGGCCAACTTTAGTGGCAGGCCTCCCTTGTCCAAATGTTTTATAAGAGCATAGTTTGAAAGCCACATGTGGCCTTTATCTAATAACTCTGATTTCCATGATTCTACCAGCTTGTTTGGTTTTTGATTTTGCTTTTTACTGTGGGGGTGGGGGTGGGGTTTGTTTTTTTGGCAAGAGTAGAGGAAGGACAGAATTGTATATTCTGTTTCTTTAGTACTATTTTGGATATCTAAAAGCTGAAAGACAATCCAGTTAATACTGGTTTTGCATGTAATGGTCAACATTGCCCAATAATTAAATTCCTTCATAAAATGGGAAAATGAGTTTATTTTGAGAGTCTTTGATGTCATTGATCTTCAGATTGGATCATTTCTGATAATCTATCTTAAATTCACTAATTCTTGCTTAGGTTATCTCCAGTCTTATTTTCAAACCTTATTCCTGTTGAATTTTCAGTGAGATTGGGAGCTTAAACTTGAAAGATTTTATATAGCTTCTTTTTAAAAACGTTCTATGGCTCATTTTCCACAAAATGGAAATGAAACTTTTAAACAATTTTCATGTATACGATATTTTGGAAAGAAATGCCCTTTATAATGACAGCTAAGGCTGCTACTTTTCCAGTCAACCAATATATTTACGCAAACAAATGTTAAGTACTAGATACCTTTTTTTTTAAACTATTAAATTTTATACTCAAGTGATGGTTGCTTCTTCTCTGCCTTTCTGCAGTGCCTGGTAGAGTGTTATTCACACTTGGTTTTGGGGGTACTTCTTGTTTTTCCTCGCCTTCTATCCTGACCTAAGTTCTTTCTCTTCCTCCTCCTAACTCCTATTGTAGATACTCTCTAAGGCTTAGGCTTTGGCCCTCTGCATGTCTCTGTGTGGCTTCTCTTCCTTGGAAATCTCAGTCTACTTCCTCAAGTTCACTCTCACCTTCTTCCTCCTGCCCTTGGTCCCTGCAGGTTGAAATTCTCGTCGTTCAGAATCCCGTACCATGTTAGTGATGGGAGAGTCCCCTAGATTAGTCTCCCTGGGGCAGAATTAGTCACTATTTTCTGCTCCTATTAATAACCTCATGGCATTTTTCATCTTGTATTCTGATTAGTAATAGTGCAGTATTTCTCCACTGGGAATGATTTCATCCCCCAGGGGACATTTGACAATGTCTGGAGACATTTTTGGTCACAGCTGGGGGAAGGGCAGGGTGGTTCTACTGGGAATGTGAGAAAGCCTTTTTCCTCTCCCGGCCTTCACTGAGTTTTTGTTGATGTAAAGCCCACCCGTCCTGCAGGGCCTGGCGGAAACCGGCCTCCTTGACAGGTCCCTTACCTGATCTCTGCTCAGCTCTACTTTCTCTGCACCCCTGTACTAAGCCTTTTAGTGTCAGTGGCACTTTTATACAGGACTGTCTTAATGTGGCCTGCCAACTGGACGCAAGCTTTAGGAGGCCAGGCTTTCTCGTTCCAGGTGCCCCCTCTAAGTCCCACTATAATGCAGGTGGATGACGCCGTCAGTGTTTTAAAAGCCGAGTTGGGAGTGGGAGGCTGTAGGAAAGGGTGATGGAGAACTACAGGGCGTTGAGCACCAGGCACTTGACCTCCTGTGTCCTCACAGAAGCTGAAGTCGGAGGGCCTTTCGATCCAGTTGTTTAGGGAGGGAAACAGATTCAGAGAGGTTAAATAACTTGTCCAAGAACAGCACTAAGAAGCGGTAAGGCTGGTGTTGAGATTTGAAACAGAGGTGAAGGCACCCAGGTGACATTGTGTTACACCAGGCCATCTAACCTCCCAGGTGTTTTCCCTTCCGACCTCTGTAAAGCCTGGGTGATACATACAGTCCATGCACCAACTGATCCAACAATTTAATTTTAGCACATGACCTAACCAATTGCCCTTTTAAAATTAGAGATGCTAAAACCCTCTGTACCCTCAAAAAGAAGGAATGAATGTGTATATCCGTGTGTGTTTCAAAATTGAAGTGTATCAGAAATTTTCAAATTCATGAAAGTACAATATGATACTGGTTTATTATGTCTTAAATGTATAAAAGATTTATCTTGAAAGAAATGTAGAGCATTTTGTTTATTTATATTGCCAATCTTTCTGAATTATCTTGTTTCCATCTGCTGAATTACGGGACTCAGCAGTAGTTATGACATAATTTCTTATGTTGTATTAACATTTGTAAATAAGAATGTTTCTTATCTTCAGGTACAGATTTATGAATTAGAGGAACATAAAATTGAAACATGGAGGGGTAAGTACTGTTGGGTGTTTAAAATCTTTTAATATCAGAAAAAAATTCTTAGTGTGTAAAAATATGTTTTAATATCACAGATTCTTTGCTTAATGAGAAACTACATTAATTAAAACATTGATTTCTACCTTAGTTTTGATAGCATGCCACACTATTGTACATATTATCCTCTCTGTTTAATAGAAATGTATAGAAAAGCTGTAGCAAGTCTTTATACTAAAACTGGGAATGAGAAGATGACTAAGCCAACCAGCACTCAGGTCTCTGCTCCACCCCCAGCCACCATTCACTACTAAGTATTACTCCCTCAGAATGTGCCTTTGTGTAG